CTGAGCCCTGATTTCCAAGAGTCACAGACTAGTGGAGTATATAGTTTTGCCTCTGGGAGGGTGCCCCATTCTGAGTGGAGATACAGCTCTTCCTCAGAGAGCCCAGAATTGAGGGAAACACACACCTACCCTCAGGGAACCACAAGCTGAGGAAACACAGCCCTGCTCTCAAAGAGCCACAGTCTGAGGGGGAGATACAGCCCTGCTTCCAAAATCCTAAGTCTGAGGGGAGCAGCTCTTCTTCAAGAAGCCCCAGTCTGAGGGAAGATGCAATAGTGCCTCAGGGAGCTTCAGTCTGAGGAAACACAGCTCTGCCCTTGAGGAGACACGGAGAGGGGGGAGATATAGCGTTCCCCCACAGGGGTCACTTGCTGCTTTCATTCTTTCACTGCCTTCACAGAGGTTCAACCGTTAGTGCGGGAACTAAGATCCTGCCAGTCACGAGGCACTTGGCCAAAAGAAAATACCGCCAAGACATCTTCCAGCCCAACAGAAAGAGCCCTGCCTCAGGGAACCACTCTCAGCCACACAGCACTTGGACTTCCCTGGTGGCCCAGTGGTTAAGAATCCTCCTGCCAACGCAGGGGACACGGGAAGATCTCACGTGCCAGTGTGCCACAAGTACCGAGCGCCCCGGCCCAGGTCCCTCCCGCTAGAGCCGCTCCGTGATGAGAGGCTGGTGCTGCTCCTCAAGGGAAAGTAGCAGGCCATCTCTCTGCAGGTAGAGAAAGCCTGAGCCCAGCAACAAAGACTTAACACAGCCAAAATAATAATAATAATAAATAAATTAGTTAATTAAAACAAGAACACAGGACAGTCTAAGGGAGAGACATAACCCTGTTTCAGAGTGCCTCACTATGAGGAAAAACAGCCCTGTTCTTGAAGAGCCAGTCTGAGGAGATACAGCCCTGCCTCAGAAACTCCAAGTCTGAGGGGAGCAGCTGTTTGTCAGGAAGCCCTGGTCTGAGGGAAGATACCGCCCTGCCTTAGAAAGTTTCAGTCTGAGGAAACACAGCTCTGCCCTTGAGGAGACACAGGAAGGGGGAGATACAGTGTCCCCTCAGGGTCACTCGCTGCTTTCACTCTTTCACTGCCCTCACAGGGGTTCAACCGGTAGTGCGGGAACTAAGATCCCGAAAGATGCGAGGGGCATAGTCAAAAGAAAACAAAAAACCTGCCAAGACTGCTGGGACCCCAGTGTGATAACAGAAACAGTCCTGCCTCTGGAAACCACTCTCAGTCACACAGCTCTTGGACTTCCTGGTGGTCCAATGGTTAAGAAGCCACCTGCCAATTCAGGAGACACAGAAGATCTCACTGTCAGGCGCCACAAGTACTGAGCGTCACTCCCCTCCCTACCCCAGAATCACAGCTCCGCTATGGGAAGCCTCATGTCCGCAACAGTGAGTAGTACCCCCGATCTCTGCAACTAGAGAAAGCCCCAGCAACAAAGACCCAGTGCAGCCAACGTAATAATAATAATAAATAAATTAGTTAATTATTTTTTAAAAAGAAGAAAAATCAGCACAGTCTGAGGAGAGACACAGCCTTGTTTCAGGGTGCTTCCTATGAGGAAAACAGAAACACAGCCCTGTTCTTGAAGAGCCACAGTCTGAGGGCAAGATACAGCCCTGCCTCAGAGAGCTCGCTCTGAAGAAATACAACCCTGTCCTTGAGAACCATAGGGGGCAGGAGATAACAACCTTCCTTCAGGGAACCAGAAAATAAGGGGAGACACAGCCCTCCCTTAGGGAGCCCCAGTCTGAGGGAAGGCACAGGGCAAGGCAGAATTCAACAGGGTTTTCTAGGAGCAGGCAGCTGCAGCACTGGGGGCCATTGGTAGCAGAGACTCACAAGTGCAGGTCAACATTTAGCTATCTTATTCAGAAGAGAAAAGTCAGAGAGGTGTTTTCTCCCAAGCCCTCCAGTACATAAACCCTTGGTCTTCTCAGAGACTTCTGTTTGTCACCTGTGACAATAAGTAGACTAGCAGAATAACAGCAACAGCATGCATGTGACTCCTCACTCTCCTGGTTGCCTAACTTCCAGCCACCGGTGTTCATCACCCTTGGGTCACTAGTCTGTGGGAAGCTATTGCCTTCTGTGCTCAGCTGTATGAGTGGCTGACCCACCACAGAAATGGTTGTTTGGCTCGGGAACTGGGTAGGAAGATCCCTTCATTTGCATCAGCTGGTGCCTAATCTCTGGCCCCCTCTGAGGCTGCTGTCAAGGCCAGAATTCTAACCAGCAGATTACACAGGGGTGAAGACAAGGGGCTTAGCCAGGTGTCAAATCCCTGGGACTTTAAGAACATGTAGTGTGGTACTTCTCAACCCTTAATGGTGAAGGATCAGTTGGTTGGTTTTATTTTTCAAACTGATCTGTCATGGGCCAATATTTTTGTAACATGCAATAATGATAAGTTACAGAAAAAAAATAAAATTAAAGAATCTAAAATGCAAGACCAACTTCTTAATTACTAGACTCAACAGACATTAAATTGCATTTCTAAAGTACATTACATGCACTCAATGGAACTTAGCATTTTCACTAATTTGGAATTGTTTTTCATTTCAGTTTTCCTCCACTCAAATCTGGAAACCATGAGCTGCTCACTAATTAGAGGTAACCATAGTTACCAACTTGTCTTCAAAATACATTTAAGAGTTCCTTTTTTTCCTTGAGCTTAATTCTACAAAAAGAATTTGTCAGTGGCTCTTGTTCCCTTTTCAGTTTCATTGAGTGATTTTCCAAACCCTGGAGCCTTTTGGCAGTCATATTAAAAGTTCCAATATTAAGATTTAAAGAAATCACCCATTCTTAGAATAAACAGTCCGGGGCCCTGAATTATCCAGTTTTGGAAACTTCAACTGACTGGGAGGGTTAATCAACAGGTTGGCAAAGAAGTGGGCCTGAATTCTGCAGATTTCAGTGCGACTCTCTACAGAGAGGAGCTGGCAACCATAGGAGTGGTTTCTTTAAAAAACTGTCCACTTGAGGGCATTGTCATCCTCTGTAGGGGAGGAATGGATGCCCATTTCTTCAGTTAACTAAGTTACTAAGTATAAAGAAATTCACTGACACCTGATTTGCTGCCATGGTGATTAGATGTCCCTTTGAGACTGGCTCCAAGGGCAGCTGCCCAGCTGTCCTGCCCCTTAATTCAGCCAGTTCTGCTGCTCTGTTCTCTCCCAGCCTTTGAATATTATTAGTATCTGCCATAATTCCTGAAGCACTGTACTGTGATTTTGTAAATCTCCCACTGGAGCTCTTGGTTGCTGTACCTGCCACATCAGCATAGTGCCTGACATACAGTTGTGCTTCCATACATGTTGTTGGGCCAGTGAAGGGCTTATAACAGTATACACAAGGTGATAAAGAGAGCAGTTGAATCCTTTCCAGAGTGGAAGTTGGAAAAAGATCAAACAATGTGAGTCACTCTGGCTACAGTCCAGAAGTGTTAGGGCAGGAAAGGCTTGAACTCTTGCCAATTCTCCCTGTTTCTATGTGCCCAGACCAGCATATGAGCCATGGGAACGAAAAGGTAGAAAAGTTGCTAGTCTTGGAGTTTGATTAGATATAATATCCCACTTGTCAGTAACTCTTGTGCTGTCTTGAGATTTTTCCAAACCAGAAGGCTCTTGGAAATTATAGTAAAATATTCAGAATTAAGATAAAAAAAATAAGGCACCCAATCTTAGAGAATACCCTGATGGTGTGAGTGACTGGGTTTTTAAATTTCATCACATCTTGAGACAATATTTCATCAAGATCCTAGAGTTCCCTTAGAAACTACCAGGTACTGGTGGGCAAAGAGGATGTAGGAGCAGGCCTGGAAGACTGTGTGTGGGACTTTTCTTGAACTTAACATAACCTAGGACTAAAAGTGCAGTCTGGGGCACAGCAAACCCATGTCCAGGAGATATCCCTTAGTTCTGGCTCAAGGAATAAAAAAGGGAATTCCTAATGGCCAGAGAGCATAAATATTCCATTTTTCTTTTCTTCTCTTTCATGCCACAGCCCCCTGGCAAACACACAGCCACAGTGGTAACAGTCAGTCATGAGCCAAGGCCAGTCAGTTTTGGCCTTGGCCAAAACTGAGGAAGAGGAAACTTGCTCTTGGATCGGAGGAGTTATGCTCTCAAGAGGGTCTCATCAACCCCTATTGCTTTTTTCCACTCACAGTTCTTCCATTACTCAGACTTGAACGTGGGCCCAAATATGAGAGTGTGTGATAGAACAGGATAACCAGAGCCAAGTTTTTGGGTGGAGGACCAAAAAGGAGAATCCCAGGGAACTGGAAAGTTCTGGGGAGATTGTAGAGAGAGGGAGAGTAACTCAGGAAGGCAACCCCATATAGTTGTTAATGAACTCCAGGCCTCAACCCCAAGCCATGCATGCTTGGATCTGGTCCTACTTGGCATATCAAAGACTGAGAACTAAAGTAACACATAGACTGTCACTGGGTGGTGTCCAACTGATATGGAACCAAAATGCAGTGTTCCTTGTAAAGTAAATTGACCACCTTTCTTTCCAATGTCTGTCTCCTTTGGGGCTTCATGTCCTATTGCATCAGGCCACCTGGGCCTTTGCTGGATAAAACCCAGGTCCCTTTTCTCTGATCATTGACTGTAGGGATTCATCCTTGGGTCCCAAACGTCAGGAATCCCTCCTTGAACTTTCTGAAGACTAAAGGACCTTTTGCCGTTTGTAGACACAGAGAAAGAGGGACAGAAGAAAATCACTTTAATAGCATTGTAACACATTAGGACTGGGGATCACAGATAAGGAAAACATTTTGTTGTCTTTTTGTACATTTCTGCCAAGGTGCAAAGTTGTGTTGGACAATGATACAGACAGATTTTTCACATTGAAAACTTAATAAATAGATACTTTAAATGTCAGACATCAGAGACGAGTGATGAGTGTGATTGTTTTCTTATTCTGCCTCCTTTGAGTCAGGAGGTTGCTTCCTATCACACTGCTGAAGGCCAGGTCTTCTAGGAGGTGTATTCAAACTCCTCAGCACTGCGCCGGCCAAAATCCATCCATCCCATGTAGTCCCGGTCACTTATCCTGTGGCTCGGGTCCAGGCTCTGCAGGTTCTTGATCACAGACATTCGGCCAGAAGGAGCTAGTGGCAGAGAGGAAGGAAACAGGATAATTATATCTAAGAGCATCACTAGTTCCTATTGTAAAGGCAAATAATAGAAAAGGCCAGGCAAGATGTAACATACACCCTCTTCAATATATCAAAGAGGTATCAAGAGAGTGAGATTGCTGGGCCAAAACCTAAGAGAAAAGAAAGAACCATGTCTATGTAACTGGAGAGAGGGTAGTATTTTCTAGTCGTGGGTGTAGTTTGCAATCTGTAAGAATTTAGGTGAATTAATTTATTCTTGCCTTTCATAGCTGAGACCTGCCTAGGTTTTCCTACTCCTCAGGGTGTTTTCCCTTATGTAGCAGGATCTCCCCAGTAGTACTCATTTCTAAAGTTTACCCCTTATGGGCCTTTCCTGGTGGTCAAGTGGTTCAGGCTCCATGCTCTCAAGATAGGGGGCATGGTTCATTCTCTGGATGGGGAACTAAGATCCTACAGGGCAAAAAAAAAAAAAAAATATTTACCCCTTTATATCCCTGAGCCGACCTGACTCTTGTCAAGGTAATGTGATGACAATATTTTGATGTTAGAATGGCTTTTCTAAAATGGAATCCAATTTCACTGTTAGATAAACGCTGTTTTAAAATTATTAATTTGAAAGCAACCTTCTTTTTCTAAAAAAAAAAAAAAAAAAAGGAAAACGATATTGAGAAAAAAGCACACCGGCAGATTAAAATCTTAGCATCTCAGCAACACTCAAAGAAGGGTGGGCAGAACAGAGGTAGTTTAGTTCAGCCATTTTGACCAACATGCAATCATTGAACCTGAAATGGGCCCATGGGCATGGGAGTTGAGTCCTTCGGAACAGGATGAGTCCAGGTATGATTCATGTTGAGTGGGCAGTGCCATGATGAGGCATGTGAGTGTTCTGGCCCACAGATCATAGACACTGGCATCCTGGGGATAAAGTCAGTATCATACCTTCTGTTGTACAAACCAAGGGGCAAGAACGGTCCCTCAGGGATCTCAGTGGGCAAAGCCCAGATGGCTTCAAGAGCAGAGGGGTAGAGGCTCACTCGATGGTTTCTATTATATTGGGGGCCACTGTGTCCCCACTGCTCACAATGCTGGCATTGAGCCCTTCTGAAGGCTGACCTTGCCAACTGCTGCTCACAAGCTGCATCAAGTCAGAGCACAGCTTATTTATTGATGACACTGCAGAAGCAGGTATCCTGATAATCAAATAAAGCTAAGTAAATTAAAAATCAGAAACAACCCTACGGAGCAATGTCCCCACCCTTTCTTCCTGTCCCCTTTCTCTCCCCTCCCCTTTACTTCTCAGTCTTGGAACTAAGCATCACCCCAGCACATTCCAGCTCTTTTGCAGGCATTGTCAGTCTATGCAGAGGAAATCAGCCTCTGCTGTTTATTTAACCCCTTTCAGATGAACTATTAGTCCCTGCATTCAGCAAAATTCTCAGGCCCAAGTTATCTGTACACAGTCACACCAAAATATGCCTCATCCTCCTGCCTGTTGCTGCTGAATGCCCCCTCCAAGGCCTGGGCACCACTGGAATGCCACTTAATGGAAGCAGCATGGCAGCTTCAGCGTGAGCAGCAACCTCAGCGGTTGTAGTCAGGGGCAATGTGTGCAGTGTGGAAGTTGTGCCTGTATCACCCAGAATTTCCCCATGCCACACACAGTTCTGTGTATTTACCAGAGTCCTCACTCACTTCCCCATTGCGTGCACTTACAACCAGCTCACACAACTGAAGGGCTTGGCTCCTTGAAACTTTAAAACTTGTAATGAGCAGTACAGCTGGGAAGCTGAATGGCTTCCAGACCCTCTGGGGAGGGCAGGACTTGAGTAAATTCCCAGCCCTTCTGCTGCCGAGATGTGCTACCCATCTAGGCACTCCGTCTTCCAGAATCCCAGCTTCCACACTGACACAATGAGGATAACAGACCCTACTGCACAGGATTATTGTGAGGACAGAGAGAGATAATACAGATGGAGCACTGGACTGTGCTGGGCTTGGGGCAGGTGCACACTAATAGAATTCCTTCTCTTCAGGTCACTGACATCTCCATAGACAGTTCTTAATGATAAACTCTTGAGCTCTCCCCAAAGGGTGCATTATCTTATTTAGAATCTTTAAGCATGGCATATACTACAGTTGAGTAAATATTCACTGTGATCTCAAAATGTATAAAACAAAGAAACCATATAGATGGAGTTACTTATTTCTAGTTCATATTTGTCAAATAGAAGAGAATGATTTTTTTTTCCAGCGAGCACTGATCCTTGGTGTTGGCAGCTAAAGTTTCAAGTGACGATTTTTCCCATATGGGCTTGTTTGTCACGGCAGGCTAAAGGCAAAGGGCTGAGAAAAGACAGCAGGAAGGCCCTTCCAGCTAAGAGTTGTGGTATAAAGTCACTGTGAAGTGTCAGTTCTGGGGAAATCATTTGGTAACTGGCTTCTTTCCCAGAACTGTTTCTGGTGGATCTTTCCTGAAGGTAGGAATGGGCTTCCAGATTATGGCCAATGAAAAACCTAGGATATTCAACCCATATCCAAGGACAGATTTTAAACTACTTTCAGACAGTCAGCAGGAACCTCCAAATTTTCAGACATTCTCTGTCATCTGTCTAATATTTCCACATCTTTCAATATAATTAGGAGGAAAGCAAAATAGAAGATGGTAGTTGGGACAATCCCCCAATAAGAGGATGAAATGTAATACATCATCTTCTATTTTTTTTTCCTTTTGAAATGCCCTGGTCAAAAATGTCCCTTCTCACCTTTCTGCAGAATTGTAGGAGACTCTGGAGAGCTAAATCCTTTATTTTCTCCCCATCTCATCAAGCCACAAGTTAAAGTTCAAATCCAGGCCCCAGAACCCCAGCAGGTTAAGAGAGCCTTGTGGGAAAGGAGCCCACCTCCCACCTCTCCCAGCAGCGTTTGCTGGTTTATCATCCAGCCATATTGGTCCAATTTAAAACATGGCTTCACCATTAGTGTCACTTTAGATAAAGCTGATAGGAAAAAATCTGTCCCAGTTCAAATCATGATTTCCAAGGACCCTAGAGATGAATGAGCCTCCCTCTGAATCTCATGAAGAGCTAGAAGAAGCCGAGGGGAACCCCACCTCATGCCCTCTTTACAGATGAGACAGTCAGGCCCAGGAAAAGGACAGGGCTGTCCGTATGCCGCTCAGCTACTGAGCTGATGAATTACTTTATTCCTAGAGAAAGACTTTGATGCTGAGGAAAGTGTGACTTGTTTAGTTCCTGCCGCAGTTAGGTCTGTGTCTCCAACAGCAAAGGAAAAATAAACACATCTCTTGCTGGGTCATCATCTTAAACCACTGCTAAAAGAGGACTCAAAACTGCTCCTGATTCTTTCTTCCTGTTACATACTTCCATGAAAATGGACACATAGTCACTTCTTCGTAGACTGTTGCTGACAGCTCTCAAGTATTCTTAGCACTGACCATTTCCTGCTAGAGGGTTTCCAAATGCAGTAGCTGGGAAGCTCCTGAGTCGTTTATATTTACAGTAGGGGGTGTTTAGTGGATCTGCAAACTCTTTCTGAGTTAGTAATTTGCTCAGTAATCACCTTTTAATATCTTTACAAAATGTTGAACCTAAACAGCAACACTGCCAAAAATTAGTTTAAAGAAAGCTTTCTCTTAATAAATTAAGTCCTGCCCCTGCCCTCTCAGTTTGCTACAAAGGAGGTACAGAAAACTGCACTGTCTGGGGCAAGCAGAATCAGAGAAAAGAAAGTGAAAAACCTTTCACCTTATCGTGTTGCCCAGGTACCCCCTCGCTCCCCAGGAGTCATCCACGTTCACTAGCCCGACGGTAGAGAAGGTCAGGCCTGGAGGCAGAAGGGAGGGGCAGAGAGGCGGCCTGCGTACCTTTCCGAGCCTGCTGGATGTACCTGGCCAGCAGCGCGCCCAGGTGTGCTCGGGGCTCGTCGTCCGCCCTCGGCACCGCCCTCAGCTGCCTGCGGGGCGCCTCCTCCGCCTGCTGCGCCCGAGGGCCCGTGGGCTCCGCGTGAGGCACCGGCTGCGCCAGGGCGCCCGCCGCCAGGACGGCCATCAGCAAGCACAGGCACACGCCGCGGTTCATGGCTGCGGGGAGCAGAGGGAAGGGGACGTGAACGAAAAGGTGCGGCATCCTGAGGAGGGTCGGACACCCAAGGTACAGAGAAGGGGGCTCAGCGCAAAGGCGCGGGACTCCGGATCCGCCAGCACTAGGGAGCCGGTGACCCCAGGACGCGCATTCGGGCGCACCGCGTTTTCTTTGGGGTGAACCGCAGTCGGGGACCCAGAGTGGTGCGGGGGACGGAGAGAGACCCTGTCTTCTGCCCTGTTGAGCAGAAACAATGTCTTCTGTTTTCCTTTAGTTTGAGGAAGTGTTACAGCGTCGTCTCTCTTCTCCTAACTGGAAAAACAAGAGATTAAACACAGGTGAAAATTATCCGAAAGGGACGACTCTGTAGGAAAAATAAGAGCCTTGAAGAAAAGAGGCACCTTACCAGAGAGCTAAGACGCTTCAAACCGGGAAATAAATGGTGAAAAACTGAGAAGCATTGTTTAAAAGATGAGACCAATACATAAAAGCCGTATTTTTCAAGTTTCCTCAAGGTGCAAATGGGAATTGGCAGTGAACAACTATGTAAAACACAGGCAGGGTTTTAAAAAAATCAGAAATCTGCGCTCAGTCCTCCGGCGTCCGCCAAGCACCGCTGCGTTTCAGATCCGCGCAGATAAAACACTGGGACAGTTCTATCCCCCAAACCTTGAGTTTTCCCGCAGTATTCAGAAAGTGAATTGAAATTGAAAACCTCTCGGTAGTTTATTTGAAAAGATTGTAAAGTTCACTGGACCGCTGTATAACATCTAGCGAATCGCAATTTGCCCGCTAACCCGAGCAAATAGATGCTCCAGCGTTGCCTGCGCTGGAGAACAAAGCAAGCGAGTAGAAGTCTGTAAACCAGCCCTACCCACCCAGCCCGCACTGCCCTTTGCGACTTGGAGAAATGTCTTTCGAGCTGTCGGAAAGAAGACACAGAAAACAGTAAAATGAAATGGAAGGGGAACAGAAGTGAAGAACCCTTCTTCGAGGACACTTGGATCCCTGAGAGCCGGGAACCTACCTTCGGAGTAGTACGCAGCCGGCTTCGCGTTCCAGCCAGAGCAGCCGGGGAGCTGAGCCAAGTTCAAGGTAGGCGGGCAGGAGGCTGCCTCTTAAATAGCCCCGCCTGAGTCGTTGGCCAGTCATCTGTTTACCCAGTACTGACGCAGAGGGGTAGCGGCACGTGCTCCGAGGGCGGCCGCCAGGGCGACAATAGATTGAGGTGGCTGCTGGGAGAGAGGGGGCAATGGCTATGTGGAGCCGGGTGGGTGGCGGGGTGGGTGGCGTTAGCCGCGTCTCGGTCGGGGGGACTTCCTCCCCCAGCTGCGTGCACCCCCTCTCCCTTGCCCATTCTAGCGCGAAGCTCCCTGTCTTCAGGGTGGGAGACCTAGGCATGGGATTCTCCTGCGGGATGGAGAAGCTGCCCGCGCGCCTGTAGTTCGCTTTGGGGAGCAGAGGCGCCAGAAAGGAAACCGGGGATAGGATGGGGTAGCCCTAGACAGTCCTGGGTGTCAGCAAAGTGTAATTCTGAGATGGTGGAAGTGCCGGCCCCTCTTGGAGCATCCCAAGCTGCTCTGGTCTTTTAACTTTGTTCTCAGCCCCTAGATCCCAGGATCCCGAGGTCAAGGGTCCCTGGGTCAGCGAAAGGGCTCCTCCACGGCTGGCTGCGGGCGTCGCGGACTCTGCTTTACGTAGCTGTAAAATGAGGATGAGGCTATTGGGCTTTGCCCGGAGTTTGGGAAAGGGCTGTGTTTTCTTCCAAGCGGAGCTACGTTCTGCCCGCGGCGCCCGCAGCTCCTGTCGCCAAGCGGCGCCAGCGAGTGTCCCCAAAAGCCCCCCAGTCGCCGTTACCCTCTGGCATCGGCATCCGCCAGTCCCATCTTCCCCAGCTTTCACACTTGGGCCGGTCCCCGCCGTCTTTGAAATAAAGAACTCGCTCCGGTCACTCACCACCACCATCCCCCCCCCCCCCCCAGTGGGGACGCGGGAGGCGCCGCGGCAGCTGTGCGCCCTTCCCTGCGGGGTCGCGCCCCTGGCCAGTGCGCCCTAGGGGTCTACAGCCACCTCCGCCCTGAAGCCGTTTGGGTTAGAGTCAGCTAGTTAGTGGTCCAGTTCTCCCGGGGCTGCGAGTTTACTGACAACCCCAATTCAGCAACCGGGGAGTGAGCAGAAGCAGCGCCTGGCCAAGGCTTCTCCACAGGTCCCTGGAGCCTCAGCGGACTGAGACCGTCCAGCCTGAGGCTTGAGGGCAGCCACCCGCCCCTCCCGCCTTTCCCCTTTCTGGAGAAAGGTTTGGACCCGATTCTTTCAACCCAGAATCTGTTCTCAGCTCCTGGGGTGCTGGGACTGTTCGTGTTGAGGTGGGTGGGGAGCCAAGGGCGCTTGGTGGGGAGATGCCTCTGATTGCTGTCCCCCTTTTCTAAACTCTAGAGGCTGCTGCATTTCTGCAATCTAAAGGCAACGTTTAGTTGCAGGTTAGATGTGTCCCAGTGGTTTTCCCACGAGGCTACTGTGTAGTTCACTTGGTGAAACTCATTTTATTTGTGTCTTTGGTCAAGGCATGTCTGAGAACATGAAGTTGTTATGGAGCATAATCACCTAAGGGGCTTGCTCAAACACCTCCCAGAGTTTCTGATTCAGTAGGTCTGAGGTGGGGCCCAGAAACCTGCATTTCTAATGATTTCCCTAAGGCTACTGCTGGTGGTGATGGTCCCCTGACCACACTTTGAGAACCACTGCTTTAGAATTTCCTTAGGGTAAGCCAGTTACTGAACTCCCTTCTCTCCATCCATTTAGTTAATATTTATTGAACACTTTTCCTCCTGTATTTTTCATTTTCTCACTTCTGGTATCATCTCCCTAATAAATCATGTGCCCCCAAGGTTTTGTCTAATTTCAGCATAATCCTACCTAGGACACCAACTGTCTATCAGACACTGTTGGGATACAATAGGGAGCAAAACAGGCAAAATGCCTGTACTCGTGGTGCTTCCATTCTAGTCGGGGAGACAGAAAATAAATGCCACATGATGTGAAAGGTCTCTACTTTCATCCAGGAAATGGAAAGGGTGGGAACCACATCCAGATGTGTCACTGTAGACAGCAGAGGTGAGTGAAAACCTGTAACTGTTTTCTGATTTGGAACCGAGAAATTTCCATCTAATTGTGCTGAAAATAATTTAACTGAGATCCCACTCAGAGTTGGAGAGGCATCCCCCCAAAGCAGCCCTTGAAACAGGGATGTGATAGTTTCCATGCAGGATTTTTTTTTTTAACCATGGGTAGTATCCCAAAGACATATGTCCATTTTGCTCTTGTAGAAAACTGAGTGGAATTTCCAGGGACACACTAGAGCCTCCTACTTTATTATTCATGGAATTTAAACTTGTTACAGTGATCTCCATTTAAAGGAGGTCAGGAGATTGTTTGCTGTGATTAGAAATGTGCTTAAAGTCTTGTGTTTGGGATCTTGAATTTTTTTCCCCCTTGAACTTGTATAGCAAATGCCATTATTTGTCCTGGAATTTCCCAAAGGCCCACATAGCCAATGTCATCTGCAATTATATGGAGCAATTTAGCAGAAAAGAAAAAAGGAGCTGTGGTTATGGTGAACCATTTCCTCTTACTAATGATGAGTTCCCTGATAATCTCTTAAGATGAGGTGCTCACAAAAGCAAGGCTGAGACAACCTGGGTGCAGGGAGATTACTTGGGAGTGATCTCAGGAAAGTAGGAGTAAGGGAGCAGGGAAGAGAAAGGAGGAAATCAAGTGCATGTTAATGAGGGGGATACTGTTGTGGACTCAATCCCATCAAGGTCTCTGTGAGATAACCCAAAGTACACATCTCACCAGCACCCCCAAGCCTAGAGGTACAACAGCTCCTGAATAAATATTTGTTGACTGAACTCTTCATCTCTTTGAACATCGTATCTGCCAACATGCCAGAGGATAGGAACCATGATTTAGTCACCCAATGCAAGGGTTATCCTGGACACATGCTAAGTGATCAATACATGTCCACTGAGGAAACAACTCTTAGTTCAGTTGACTGGATTGACCAGATGTATAGTAGTGAGTGAAAAGCCGTTTGTTGGGCTCTGCCTGGGTCTTGGACTCTCAAATAGCCATAAGAATCATTTTTAACACAATCTCTTTTAGCCAGGGATGTAAGAGCCACAAGAAATGAAAGGTCATCTCCTGAATAGATGACAGGAAAGAGGAGAGGTCAGCGGCCAGCCCATTGATCCTCATTTGCAGAATGAGCCTTTGCTTTTCAAACCAATCCTGAAAAGCCAGCAGGAATGGTAGTTGCCAGGGAGACCATCCACCAGTGTCGTCAGGTTTGTCTTTAGTGTCCCTTTCCTTTGTAGAAGTATTAAGAGCAGGCTCTATTGTCCATAGCTGGGAAAAGTTAGCAAACAGGGAGGCTTAAGTTCTTTCAGGGGAAGTCTGAAGTCTTTGTGGTCCTGCTGATACAGATTCCCTCTGAAGAGGAGCCTCTTGCAGCAAAGGACAAGCATATGTCCCTGCAACGTCCCAGCCTCCAGCAGAGACATGTCCTACCTACCACCCTGGTTGCTGCATTTGCCCTCCTCTAAATTAATGCCGGAGGACATGGCTGTTGCTGGACAGCCTTATCAGGGAAGGTTCTTAGTTTTACCAATTCAAGTGGTTATTAAATTCAATAATAGGCCTAAGTGCACATAACTCAAAAGCTTATTAATTTAAAGGTAGAAAAGGCTATATAGTTAAAATGAAGTCTCCTGCTCACCCCTGTTCCTCCCCAGAGGCAAGGAGTGCTTCTAGTTTCTAGTGAATTCTTCCACAGAGAATCCATGAACATACAAACAAATCAAATGTGTCAAACACACACACAAATAATTTCCACTTGGAAGCACATAATATACAATATTCTCTGCTTTGCTTTTTTCATTTAAGATATGTATTAGAGGTCACTTGGTATTATTGGCATAATTCTACCTCAGTGTCTATAGAACACTCCAGTGGATGGATGGGCCTTAATTCATCTAGCCAGTGCCCTACTGATAAAAATTTAAATAGTTTCCAATATGTTCTAATTATAACTGAGGCTCCTTGAATATATATCATACTGCTCATGCACAGGTTCCTAGAAAAGAAGTTGCTGAAAGAGTTTGTACACTTAAAATTTTGGTAAATATTGCCAAGTTACCCTTCAGGCAATTGTTCCCAGCTGTCAAAGACAGCATATATATATTTTCTTGTTTATCAATGCTTCAGCTCTTGATGCTTGGCCAGCTCCCTAGCCAAGCTCACTGCCTGAGAACATTAGTTCTGAGGTGGTAGAGAGCGGACCCTACTAAACCACTGAGTTTAATCTCTGGGTCACCGTTCTGTTTGAAAATCTGTGTCCTGTGTGTGTAGAGGGCAAAGGATGGGTGATACTTCTCAGTGTGAATGACACTGCTCTCTAGGTGACATTTTGGACATTTATGAAGAATTTTGGGGTGAGCAAAATAACAAGTGGTGCCCTCTGGCATTTGGTGGGAGGGTGCCAGAAGGCAGAGTGTCTGGCCACCTGCTAGACGGACAAGTACATAATGTTTGATGACCCCCTGGGTATTCACATGTGGAAAAGCTTGTCTCTAGTTATTCACGACTAGAAGCTAATTTCATGTAACTTAAGTAAAAAGCATTTTGGCGCAGTTTTAACATAACTTAACTTTCCAAGAATGTTAAATCCACTAAGGATCATACTTCATTTTGTTTGTGGTTTTAAGAGTAAGTGGCCACCATTCTGAAAACTCATGTTGCCAGCCTCAGCATTGCTTGTGGTGTTTGAGTTCACACCTCTATTGGCCCGTGTATTGGCCCACTCACAAAATCCTGTGCTTATGTTATTTAACTTTTATTTCAAGTTATCAAATGTAAAGGGAAAATGTCTGTAAAATTCAGTTGCAACCTGGGTTGCTTATTTTAAATCCAAACTTATTCATTCTAAGTAAGTATAACATCTGACAACTGTCTTCTAGTTAGCTGTGCCTAACCATTTACATATTGAGATACATATCATTGTATTCTAAATGGCTTTCTTTTTATATTAGAGAATATACTTATATAGCGTATATATGCTCTTATATAGAGAGCATTATATTGATTTTTAAAATATTGTGTGTAGAAGTGTATTATGGAATTCCCAGGTGGCTCAGTGGTAAAGAATTCACCTGCCAAAGCAGGTTCGATCCCTGGGTCGGAAAGATCCCCTAGAGGAGGACATGGCAACACATCCCAATATTCTTGTTGGGGGAATCCCATGGACAGAGGAACCTGATGGGCTACAGTCTATGGGGTCAAAAGAACCGGACACAACTAAGCAGCTGAGCATGCATGCACACACATAGAGGTGTATTATAAGAGTTATATGTGGTATACTAGGCCAATAAAGGGAGAATGTGAAATATCTATGATTTCAGAGCAGGTCAGATGGGATTGGGAATCCAAGTCTTCAGAACATGGATGTTTAAGGCTTAATCCTGTTCCACCTGCTTCTTGCTCTCCTAACTGAATCTGGGGAAACACTGGGTGCAGGGATTGAAGGCAGGGACTCCAGAAAGATGGGGTGGAGTGTGTAGAGGGCAGCGAGTGAGGATATGGTTGCCAAAAAAAAAGAGAGATGATGCACAAACAGCTCTGAATACACAGTTATTCTTCCATCTCACCATGCTCCTGACCCTTGGGCCTGACGACACCATCGCATCTGCACTAACTTGTCTCAGACAAGCCTGAGACCTGAGGGTGGAAAGGGAGCTGCGAGTTTCAGTGCAGAGGTGGGCAGAGCCAGCTGAGGTGCTCTTGAGGTTCAGGGTTTTGGGAACAGCAAGTTTGGGGCTACTTTGCCTAGAGATGATGCTGAGCAATGTGTGAAGGACATGTTGATAAGAAAGGGAGACAAAAAGAAGAGAGAAAATCATTGTGTGCTG